TAAATAAATGATTCTGTAACAAAAAATAGGTTTTCCCTTTCAGGGCTTCAGAAGAAATCCAGGAGTCATCTGTGGGCCCCAGGACACATTATGAAAGCTGTTGGTTTAGACATTTGGTGATAAATACTGAGTATACTGGAAACTCCAGAAATGATAGTAGATTGTGAGAGAATATTGAGCGCCCCTTCTTACCAGAAATTCATACCTCGTGTAGGTGTGCACATGTGAAGATGAATTTGTGCGTAAATTCAATGAAAATGATTTGGTATCTTTTTTATGACATTGAAACCTTAGCATGACCTAGGGAGTCATCACCTCAGCACCGTTGCAAAGCTCTCTGGTGAAATGCAGACTTGATATCATCATTACCAAGAAAATCACCAGGCTTCTGGTTATGTCTCTTATTATCTGATTAACCAAATAATACTTAAAGACTCTGTGCAAACTTCATATCCTCTTTACCATCAGTCTACCAGCCTTTCAGAAGTCCCTTTCTCTTATAAAAATGTGCTATTATTTACAATTGATGAAACTTTATTAACATCACCAGTCATTTGAGTAGATCTTTCTGGGTAGCTTCTAGACATTTGTCCCCATAAATCTAAACATTTGTTTCTTCTTTTCAGATAGCTTTGAAATAGAGTTAAGGAATCATGACCACAGGATCTTAAGCCCTGGAAGTGTGACACTCACCTATGAGCTTCAAATGAACCAGTCAGCACAAGAAGTCATGTGGGAGAAGATCCAGCCGCACCAGATAGACCTCCTGATGCACTGCAATCTGTCCGGAGGGAAAAGTTACTCCAAGTACAGAAAACAAATAGTGACCAACTGCACGCAGGGCATCAGAAGCAGCTTCATCATCATTCCCAATGCCACTTACTCCGACTCCGGGCTTTACCGGTGCCAATTTGTGGCCAGCACTGGAGAAAATGAAACTTTCCTGATGAGCCTAACCATTACTGATGGTGAGTGAGCCCTGGATGTTTTCTGGGAACAGTAGCCTATGTCTGTAATCTTGGCTTTCTGGGAGGGTAAGGCAAGAAGACTGCAAGTTCCAGTCCTGGTTGAGAAATTTAACAAGACACTGTCTCAAAAGAGGACAAAACTTAAAGAGCTCTGGTGATGGAGGTAACTCAACCCAACCCAACATTACCCAACTCAACCAAACAATGACAATAGTAACAACAGCAAAACCATCTATTGATCTCTGTTCTTTTCTTTGTGATAAACATATTCACTTAACAAAACTCTGTTGTTTCACAGTATTTTTAATGGTTTGATATACAGAAATTGCCATCATAAAATTTTAGAATTTATTGTTCCATCCAGTAGAAAATATTTTATATTTTCCTAGCCGTCACATTCCTGACATTTAAAAAATAAATAAAAATGTATATTATTAACATAATAATATGTTAGCCTGTGTAGTTCAGCTGTGCAACTCCTCCTCCGCAATTATATTTACATTACTCACGGTGCTCACAGGTATTTAATCCCACGATCACTAGCGGTGACAAGACAGTGCTGGAGTGTTGTGTGGGAGCCAGCCTGGAGCTGACCAGAACACAGCTGTGGCTTGATGGGGCAGTTGCTACTCTGCCAGGTCAGAAAGCAGCTGTGGCCAATTTCAGACGGGGCAGAGAATCATATGTACCGTGAGGCAAACAAAATTGGCTTTAGGGCCTTTCTCTAAGCAGAACCTCCAAGAGCCGCATTCACTTTCTGTTTGTAATTTGGCCCCTTTGTCATACTGAAAACCTAGATTTTGTGAGCACCATACTGATCAATACCTGGAGAGAGAGGATAGGGGATTTTTAGTTTTAACTTCTGAAAGTACAAAGACCTATAGGCCCACATAGCGTGCGTGTGGAGGCCTGTATTGCTGTTTACTGGGAGGAAGTCAATCTCAGGAAAGTTAGGTCTGCCCCAGGTAAGTGTTCTCACTGCTGAAAAGCATGTCCTACAAAATTATTTTTTATCAGTAATACAATTATTTTACTTTATTCTCACTCTGTCCTTCCTTCCCTCATTCTTTCATTCCTTTCCTCTGTTTTCTTCCATATGCTTTTAACCTGTTTATTTTTTTTTAAATTTTTTTATTAATTTTATTGAGAAACAAATAGTAATGAGACAGCTTCAAAACAGGATAGTAGGACAGTTACAATAATTAATACATTGCATATTGTTGTTTCGTAGTAGTTATTCATAGTACAAGATGTAGACATGATATCCTGTCCAAATACTATTAGTACAAATCTTATTTCTCATTGAATTAAGTGAAAGTAGCTGTATATCTATCCTATTTTGTATATACAGATACAAAATGGTCCTTCATTTATATCCCCCTTTTTCATTTAGTTTTGACAGAGATGGGTATTCCATTGCCATTTAAATATTGGAGGTACGCTAATTCAGCAAAATAATCCAATATAGTCCAGTAGTTGTAGTGGGTTATCCGTAGGACTGTACAGACCTCAAAAGTCATCTTTGAAATTGTTGGGCTCCAGACCTGTTCCCTGCTGTAGCTGTGCTTTCTACCACCCTCTTCCCCCCCATAATTTTATTGAGAAACAAATAGGAATGAGACAGTTTCAAATCAAATTAGTAGGACATTTTCAATAATTATCACATTGCATACTGTCTTCCTAGTGGTTATTTGTTGTACAATATGCAGACATGTATCCTATTTACAAACACTATTAGAACAAATCCCTCTATTCATTGAATTAAGAGCATGTAGCTATATATCTATCCTATCCGTTTTGAATACACAGATACAAAGTTGTCACTCATCTGTATCCCTTTTTTTGTTTAGTTCTGTCATTTAAATATTATAGGTGTGTGAACTCAGCAAAATATTCCAAAATAGTCCAGTAGTCCATAATAGTATTGAATCTTCCAAATGACTGGCAATGTCAGAAGTTGTTGACCTGAGTCCCCTACAGCTCAACATAACAACATTAGACAGTTCATTTCCTTGGCTTCCTTTTAGACTTTTTTTGAGATGGGGTATCACTATGTAATCCAGATTGGCCTTGAATTTGAGATCTTCTTCCTGTTTCAGTTCTCGAACTACTGGGTTATAGGTAGGCACCACCACCCCTGGCCTTTATGTAGAACCAAGGCTTCTTGCACCTTAGCTGCCTCGTTCTAGTCTGTATACTTTAGACTATATTTCTGCCTGCACTGAAAAGGAAGAATTAAAAAATTTGGGGAACAGCATCCTTCGCTTTGTGTAATAAGAAAAGCAATTGCTGGAGGAGAGCAGATTTCATCTGCAGCCACTATGGGGGCCACCTGGGGCCATTGAGCCACTTTGTGCCTCTGCATGAGAGTAGGAGCTGTGGTGAGATGCATACTGCATTAACGACTTAGTGTCAACAGTGGCTGACCTTAAATCACGGAAGAGAATGAGCAGATTCCTCATCTTAAATATAGTGTGATTCCATTCCTGCAGGCATAGACAGAAAGTACTTCTTCCCTCAAAACTCCTGCATTTTAGAAGTGCTTTTCTTTGAACCTTGTCTGGAAAAAGAAGGTAAAATTTCTTAAAGGTCAAAGCAAAAAAATGTTTCATTCAGAAAAATATCATAATCATTTTCAAACACATGTGCTGTAAGGTTTGTTGATTACGTGCTGAAAAATAGTTATAAACATCATAAATCATAGAGAAAATGAAATTTTACCTTCTTTTTTCCAACAAGGTTAGAAGAAAAGCACTTCTATAGTTTTTAGGAGATGATGTAGTTATTTAACTTTTACTAATTATAAACACATCTTTCATTTATACAAACATGACTAAGTGTCTTGCACAGAACTATTTCTTTGTACATAAAATACAAACAACATCACAGTCTGCTAATGCAATCCAGGTGACAATGTAATGGTCAGTGTTGTCATTGTCTATGAGCTTGAACAAATACAGAATGGTCTTTTGACATTTAATGGAAAAATTGAAAGCATAACAATTTGACATTTCATCCTTAGTAAAAAAATTGTAATTGATGGAAAATGACAACCATTGACAGTATACTTTAGCTTACATCCTTCTTTCAATTGTAAGTAGAGAAAGAATGAATCTAAAAAATTAAACCAAAAATGTGAGAGATCATTTTTTGTTTTCTCTGGTGCAGTTTGATTATTTAGCCTGAAGGCTGTGTGGGCAAAAATCAATGTAGAGATTAAAGCAGAGAGACAGGTGAAAGATGTGGACAGATTTAATTTATTTCAGCTGTCAAGGGAAAGATGATCGTGACACAAATTTTATAAACTTCTCAGCATCCTGTTGTTAGTTCCCATCAGCTTCTTTTATGTGACACATTATTGGATTCAAAAGAGAGATTTTTAAGACTCTCAAATTTATAAGCGCACACAGTCTTATCCTCTGACTTTGCCTGCCCACATTCATCTTCAGACATGAATTTGTTAGTCAGAGGTCACCCAAAAGAGTCTGTGGAGTCTCCAACCAGTAACTGTATGACTGCCAAAAATGCATTTTCTCTCTAAGACTTAATGTGTCTTAGGCAGAGGGAGAAACGCCTGAGTTACCCTGCCTTTGACTTTCTTTGCAGAATGGGAAGCGACACTGACCTCCTTCCTGTCCTTTGAATTCAGGACTCGTACATTATTAAGAAAGTGCTCCAGATTAAATTTTTGATTTTAAAACTTGATTATAAGTGCAAGAAGCTGGAAAAAAAAGTCTAGGTTTTTGACAGTGACCAGAATTATTTTTGATTGTTGCTATCTTCCAAATTTTCATTAGTCATAAAAGAAGTATTTTAGGTGACCCAAAATAAATTGTGAAATCCACTTCATATTAACCAGATGATGTGCAGACTACTAGTGTTTAAACTGAACTTCAGCAGAAGTTCATTGATGAGCTGATAGTGAAACCATCTGGTCCCAGAAGTGGTGATGGGCCACAGGTCCTGGTCCACTTTGACTGGACACAAGAATGGCGAGACAGGGAGAGAGGGACTTAGAATGACATCAGCCTCAGTGATATCAGTCTCATCCCACGCTTGCTGCTCCCATGAGTAGCCACTCATGTTGTCCCACTTTTTCCTGTTTCGATTTACTTTTTTCTTTTGAGGCAGGGTCTTAAACCTAATTGTCACGGTGTATACTTGCACTCCTCCCACAGGTGTGCACCACTACATTTAATTTTGTATATATATTTTTCTCAAGCAGTTTCTTATTTTTCACCATATTTAAGTCCTTTCCCATAGAATGGCAGTCAAATCTCACTGTTTTCATGTTTGTCCACATTAGCCCAAAAGGCCTTCTTGTCTTTGAATCATTAAGCACTGTGATTTTCTCAGGCTTTATAACTTGAAAGTTGCCATCCTCGGGTGACCTAATCTACGTATTTGCATGGTATAGATTCAAAACTTACTTGATGTTAGGGGCTATGACATCTCCATTGAAAGTTGTCTAAGTATCTTTTAAGGATATGCTGAATAAGTGCTTTGGACTGATTTCATGCTTTAAGTTTCAGTTTTTGTTGTGCACAGTATTTTGAGATTGGTTTCCTCAAAATTAACTTTTGAGGTTTAGTGATTGTTGATCAAAGAAAGTGAGCTTTCAGAAGATCGATTACAGTGATTGGGAAGAAAGCTTTTGTGAACTTTTGTCTATGTATGTAATTTTCAGAAAGGACTGGCTCTTTCTTTTAAAGCTTTAGTTTTCTTATTTTGCATTTTTTTGCACAAATTCTGCATAATTGCAAGTCTCCAATGTGAAAGAAAAAATTGTAACTTAAGATTGTAGGCAATTACTAGGAAGTAGTGATTCTACAGTCTCTGAAGTTTTCCCTATAGATTTCTTCTGTATTGTATACAGTTGGCAAAGGTGTAAGATGAGGGAATCGTGCACTATTGATTGTAAGTCCTGTCTCTCATTGACTCGATGAAGATCACTGTTTTGAGACTCTGTGGTTCTGAACTGAATTATGAGAATATTAAAG